ATTCTTCTTTATTATTATTTAAACTTTTACGATCGTATGACTCGTGGTTTGTACGCAGCAACAACTTCACCGCAGTTGTTTCCAACCAATAATTCAATAATTCCTTTTTCTGTTATTTTTAATTACATAGAATCTGAAACAAATCTAGTAATCAAATATAGTACAATATCTATAATACAAATATAGTATAATATATATATAATATAATATATATAATATAATATAATTTTCCGCGAAAAAAATAATTTTATCATAAATAGAATAAGATATCTCGTGATCTTTTGAAAAAATAGCGAATCAATAGATTTTTAAAAAAAGTGTCGTGATTTTAAATATTATTTTTTTCAAAACTTTTCTTTTAATCTTACCTTAATTTATTCCTTTAAAAAATGACGAGATATTCTGTTTCATTCGCGACGATAGTTAGAAACAGAAATGCCTACTAAAACTGTCGCTGCACATGAACCACGAGTGATATGATCGTAAAATTTAACCAATACAGAATACTGTCATCTACACAACCCAATAAAAATTGCTGTAATGTTTCTGACATAGAAAAACGAAAAACATTTTACGATCTTTTTGTACATTCGTATATTCGTGTGAATATCTTGAATTTCTTTGGATTTTTGAGGGCGAAACAAACACAAAAATTGATATACAAAAATTAAGGCTTATTTATGCTACAAGCAACTGAAATTTATATTAGATGAAGCGAGAAAGAAACGAAATACAACGATAGTGTGACGAAGATAGTATGATTTTGTTCTCTTTTTTCGTCAAACACAAACTTCAATTGCTTGCAATAAGTTTTAATCGACAGTTTTTTATATCAACTATATTAATGTTTATACAATCTTATAAATAATTACGAATTATAAATTTTCTGGAAATCTTAATTTCTATTCATTTTCTATCTTTTCAAAGAAAATAATAATAACAATTTAAAATGTATTAAATGCATTAAGATTAAATAATATATAATAGCAATAGAGTTATTTTAATTGCAATGAATTCAGTTCATTTAATCTTTTATAACGATAAATATTAGAATTTTATTTAATATTTTATATTATTTTATATTATATTTTATATTATATTTTATATTATATTTTATATTTTATATTTTCCAAAAATGAAATTATTTCTCTATACATATATTACATATTATATATACATATTACATATATATACACATATATTATATTTTAAATTAAAATTGAAAAATTATTCCTTTTTTCTAAAGAAAAAAAAGATTTTCATTTTCACCAATATTTTCAATGTTATTAGGATTAAATAAAATCGTCAGTTAAGTAGAAACTTAAAATATCGATAATTTTTAAGAAACACTGGAATAAATTGTACTGTCGTAAAAATCTCGACATTTGACACTCTTGTATTTGACGAGTTCATTTCAGTCTGGATTCATTGAATGTCTGTAAGCCAATACGTATTGCACGGTACCGGTGCACGCTCTGCAGATCCCATTGTATGCATTATTGACACCTGCGTTTATCTGACAGTACAGTTACGATCATAAATATTGAAGAGGGTAGATCTTGATATTTCGATCTGTCGTTTTGATTGATTCAACGTGCAAGCTCGAAACTACTTATACAATGCTGCATTTGTATCGAATACTTTTATTTCGAATAGTATCGTTTGATTTTTAATATCGAACAAACGCATTTGAAGAGAATTTTAAAATTGAAATTTTACAATTGACGCTTTAAAATTGAAACTTTTATTAATAATTAATATCTTTTTTTTTTTTATTTTATTTTGTTTAGTTTCATATTTTGCTTTACGATGAAAAAGATATCGGTTTCAAATAATTTGCATTTACATTTTTCCAATTAATAAAAATTCAATATGTACAAAAATAAAACAATTATTATAAATGTATATTGAATTTTTATTTAATAATAATAAAATAAATGACGCGAATAAAATACCATTGAAAAGGATTAAATGACAGAATTTATAAAGAATAAAAATGGATCATGAAATTATTAAAATGTTAAAAAATAAAAATATTATTATTGTTTTAGAATTAGTTTATTAGAATTATATTTTAAAGATCATGTTATAATTATTGAAATACAAATATCAATATCGTGTCACAGAATATTTAATTGCACATGAAAAATTAAACATAATTTTCTCAAGTATGATTTTATAAATATTTTATTTTTCTTTTCAAAATGTTTTTACATACAAAAATATCTTATCTTTATCTATATTCTTTTTGAAACATCTTTATATTATATTATTTGATTTGATTTATTTTATATAGCAAATGTAGATTTTATGCTATAAGAACTGAAAAACTTTAGATAGATAGATTTCATTTTTGAACAATTACAAATATAACTCAATTATAATAATTTATTGTACTCTATCAGAAATTAATAAAATTTTATAAATTTTGAAATTTTTTTTTAAAATGAAGATAAAAAAAAATACCATCTTCAAACCATTTATACATTCCTTTGATACTTGGAATAGAAGCATCACTTCAATTTATTTTGATTTTGAAGTATATCAAGATTATCATTCAAATAACTTTTTTCAATTTTCGAATTATGTAAAAAAGTATTTTTAATAATTAATATATATATTTAATATTATATACTTTTTAAGCATTTAGCTTAAGTTCAAGTTAAGTTGGATTTATAGCGCCTGAAGGATCATTATAGTAACTTTATTTATCCTATCTCTTGAGTATGAAATACCCAAAAGATGGCACCTTAGATTAATATTGGCAATATCAATGTCATTTTGATAGTATTTTGTGGGACATCCAAGAGATAGGGTGAATAGAAGTAAAATATCCCGCAGGCATTAATATGGATTAACTTTGGATTGGTTTGAATGGGAAACTTCACTTTACACAAATAAATTTATATAAAGTTTATCTTTCCAATTGATACAATGCAAATAATAATATACCGAATAATATATAATTAAATAATATAAAATATTCTTTGTTCGATTGTTTTTTGTAGTAAATATAATATTTAATATAATTTGTATAATTTTTTATTTTTAAACAATAAAAAAAATTTGTATAAACATATATTTGACCTTGTTTTCGAATGAATTTCTTCTTAACACACTATATCTGCTTATAAACGGCGTTCGAATTGATTTGTGCATTCCAACACAATCTCAAAAAGAAATTTTATTTACTGTTTTAACTTTCCTATTTTTTCAAATTATTATTTTGTAGATTATTTTTCGAAAACTTTGTTCAATACTATTAATGATATTTATGCGTATTTTTTAATAATTTCTACTTTTCAATAAAATTATTCCAACATAAAATTTACTATAGATAACTCGAAAACAAGATCGAATATAGGACATATGTTTACACGATTTTTTTTTTTTGTTTTATTGTTTTCATATATAGAATTGTCTTAGAATAGTTTTCATATATAGAATTGTCTTGAAAAAAGTTATACAAAGTAATGACGCATTATCAACAGCAAACATATTCGAACTTTCGAGATCCTTTAATACTTACAAATCGTATTTAAATGTAGGATATATCTAAGATAAAATGGTAGAATATCTGCCAGTCTGCAAGGTAGCCGGGCATATGGATGGCGACGCTCGGAGTGTAAATAAAAGGAGACTCACGCCAGACAAAGTATTCTCCTTCATCTCTTTTCCCGCGTTTTCAGTTCCTCTTCCCGTCTTTCTCTTTTTCTTAAACTTATGAAAGGAAAGAGCGTAGCTAGGCCCTTCAATGGATGGTACCAAGCCAAATCGAGAGCCAGCAAAAGTGGAATTGTGAAATATTAATGCGACTTCCTACAGCGTTGTACGTTGATCCTCTACTCTTCTCTTTCTTTTTACCCACTCTTCTTTTCCCGCTGTTTCTTTTTATACCTTCTCTGTTTCCCTTCTTTCATCCGTGCTTTAAACATTTTCCACCGCTCTCTGCGCACAGCTATCTTTTCTCCCTTATCGTATAACATGCCGACACACGAAACAACGAATATCCACGTGCGAGCGATATACATCTTCAAGAAGCTACGCCCGAAGAAATGAATTCGTAAATCGATCTGAATTAGGGAAAGGGGAAAATGGATGTTCTTGATGTTTTGGGAATGTAATTGAAGTAAGAACTCTCTTCTTCAACAATTCGTTGATTATTAAATTTTAAAGGAACAAGTGTATTTAATCTATAAATTATATTGTTTTAAATAACGTATCATTTTTATTTTGTAATTTTGTGTAGAACTTTTATAGATACTTGTGAAATAGAGTTGAGATATTATTTCAAGTAAAATATCATTTATTTCATAATTATTTGAAGTAATAAATATTTCTATTAGTTTGAAATAATATTTTAAAAAATGTTATTTATATTATTATTATATTATGGAATTAACTTGTACCATATAATGTAATTCCATTTCAACAAATTCCATTTGTTTGGAATTATTTTTATGATTGTTTTGCTAAATTCGAAATAAAAAAATTATGAAATAATACATTATTTAGAATTATATTATACTATCAAATGAATCGATATTATCTATATTTTCGAATAACAAATTATTGATTTTTGTATATTCATTTATTGGCAAAAAAAAAATCATTTTTCTAATTTTTACAGCTATTTTTACTTCTCCGCTAATAAAATTTTTTCAATTTTCAAAATTATAAATTTCAATATAATCTTTATAATCTTCAATATGTATTTTCAAAATTTATATGACTTTTCTTCGTATTCTTTAATCTTTTCAATCGAATATAAATTACATCGTATAACATTTGAGCACAGATATATCTTCTTTTTATCGTCTATAAATATACGATCATATCATATTATCATCATTAATATCGATTATACTCGATATCATGTTTCACGAATCGAGTTAATCAGGATTTCGTGGAAATGAAATATATAGCAATTAATGTATCACATAGTTACGTTTCAATGGCACCCTACTTGATATTTCGTCTTTTTCGAATGGCTGCTTCAGGAAGGTGAGAGGGGATACTTAGAGGGGCTGGCTTCAAGGTATGCAGACCTCTTCAGAACGCATTACGGAGACGTCCTGGAACCGCTTGAGGAGCTACGCCGCCGTGAAACAAATGCTTCTCCCAGAATGCCCAACACTCAACTCACTACCAGTCATTCACAGCCCATTTACGTGCCCGGGAAATACTCGGTGAGTAAATCCGTCTTTTTCTTTCTTTTTCTTCTGATTTTCGCTTTGTCCTTTCTATTTATCTATCCTGTCTTCCTTCTTTCTCTCTCTCTTTTTTTTATTTTTTTGTAAGAACTCTCTGATACGATAAAGAGCGTGAGTGAACAATATGTGATGAAATATTGTCAACATCTTACACACAATCAATTTCATTTTAAAACGTGAAATTTATATAGCTTTAAACTCGTTTTTTTTTCAAATAGAAAAGTAAAGATATTTTTATTTTGAAAAATTTGAAAAATTTAATTTGTTATAAAGATATAGAAATTTTTTGATTTAATCTACAATAGATGAAGATTGAAATCTATCCTTTATAATAACTTAAAATTTATTGTACCATTTTTTTTTCTCAAAATTTTTATTGAACTTTAAATATTATGATTAAGAAATATTAAATTTTCATGGGTTTTTTTTTTCAATTGAATACTGACTTACAATTAGATTCAGATTAATTATGCAGTGTTTGGATAATTATTTCTAATGACCTTGACATGTTTAAAAGTATTTGTTTAAAAGTCATCCTAATTAATCTTTATTATTTGTTAGGAAGACATTAGCAGAAAAGATTTAAATATGGCAGTTATTTTTAATAGTGAAATAGAAAATAATTAGATAGAGTACATATTTATTGTCAATTGTCATTTTAAAATACTGACAGAATTGTATATATATACAAACAATATTCTTTAATATTTATTATTTGTATTTTTATATCAAGAATTTTTACGCATAATTATAACTTGATTAATTATTTAATTGAATTTAATTATATATTGAATTTCTAATATTTGAATTTGATACTGACATAAGTGAAAATATATTCTATTTATCTTATATATTTTATTTTTTTATAATGTATATTAACTCAATAATTTATAGTACACTTTATTTTCATGATTATTTATATTACATATTGCATATTCCCTTAGAAATATAAAATATTTTTCTAGAAGTTTGAATGAGTTGCTATTATTAGAATAATTAGATATTTTAATATTTGCATTCTAAATTGTTCATTCTTTTAGATTCATTCTTTCAAAATAAAATGAATTAATAAGCGAAATATTATTATTTTCACTACTGTAAATCTATTCCATTAATATTTAATTAATAAAAATATATGCATGATATTACATATATTAAAGTCAAAATTATTGTAATTGATTCCACTTAGTTGAATATAAAATTAAGTATAAAAATTTTAGAATTAAATATAAAAATATTTTCTACAACTAAATAAAATATCTACTCACCATTATATTTATTGTATGTTTATTCTAATTAGTTAGACCAAGATATATTATGTCATATTATTTAGTAATATAACTATGATAATTTTATATTATGAAAATGAAAAATAGAATATATTAAATGAAAAATGTTATATGAAAAACCAAAGATATATTTTTTTTGAAGTAATTGTAAATTATAGTTAAATATATTAGTAAATTTTATGGAAAGGAAATCAATTTCGAGTATTCAAGTTTTATTTTTCGTTTGGGGAGATTTAGAGGTAAGTAGTTCACGAGAACTAAACACTTTCCATCGTGGAAATGAAAGTCCTCTGAGGGCAACTTGCCGAACTGGTTTAAAGGGGATTAACCGTGTAGATCCATTGATCCTGTTTCAAATCAGTTATTGTTCGGAGTTCTGGCTTTCCACCAGGTCAAATCGAATTTTCTATCGATTGTCGATTAAGTTTAATTCTTTTGAAGATTTATGATTTTTCAGAAAGTGATTAAGCTTTTTATGACAAAACTATCGCATAATTTATCAAGATTGTCTATTTCGTTGTTTGTCTTTCATTTGTACAATTTTAATAAAAAATTGTATAATCATTGCATAATTAATTATTATTGTTATTGCATACGAGATATGAGAGAATGTAAAGATAATATTTTTGTATAGGGAATGTAAAAATGTGTAAATAAAAAATTTTTAATTAGAAAGATGAAAAATATCTTTAATAAATATAATATTGTTGTATTTTAATCACAAATTTAACACGATTCTGAAAAATTTTCAGGAAGACAAAATTTATTCTATTTTATATTTTAATTTTTAAACAGATCGCATTAAATAAGTTTCACTTATTTTTAAACAAAAGTCAAGAAAATTGCAAAAAATTTAACCTTCTTTAATTTTCTATACAATTATCTTGTTCTCTTTGCAATAAATTTTAATTTCACGCAAGCAAGATTTCTTTCAATGGGATAAAAGGTAAAAGAGATAAAAACCAAGAATGTTCTCTATTTTTGTTCAGCCCTCGAGCTGTCTCAGCGATAAGGAAGAGGACGAAATCTATGGCTTTGGATACGGTGTATTCAGCAGGCAAATGCTTCAACAACGACAACAGAAACTTGCTCTTGCTGCGCAAAATACCACTGCAGTAACACCTGGTGGACATCAACAACCTTATCAAAGGTAGGAACATTTAGAATTATCATATATTTATTTTACATTATTATGCTATTTTATATTATTATATAAATCAATTAATTTATAATATAAGCATTAATACAATAAATAATTTTATATATCCATTTCAATATATTTATGTTATTATTTTCAAGATCATTAATTTCAATTTCATGATTGATACTTTGAATCATTATCTTATTGAAAAACATATTTATTTCATAATTCCATCTTTTATGTAAAAGTAAACAATTATTCTATAATTATTTCCAATATAATTGATAATCGTCAAAAATGACAAGTTTCCAATATCATATGCTACAGGTAGTTTCCATCTCTACGAATAATTTGTTAATTCCTGACGATCTTTCATAAATCGAGAATTTATGAAACAGAAATTTATTTCAAAAATAACATTATAATTGATAATTATCTTTCTGAAAAAAAAACATAAAATATAAAATGAATATTGAATAATAAGAAAAGATTTTATTGGCGAAAAATTATTTTACATATTTAAAAAATAATGTAAAAAAATTTTACTATTTTAATACAATCTTAATTAATCTACTATTTTAATACAATCTCTCTAAATAAAAGTTTGAATTGAAAAAATTTATAAAACTAAAATTCATAAAGAGAATTATTATATCAAAACATTATCCAGTCTTAATAGAGTCTCTATGATTCTCAAAATACATATCTGTTATGCCATTTATTATTATGAAAAATATCAATTTTTTATTCTATATATTTGTTTTAAAATTTTATTGCTGAAAGAAATCGATTAGCAAACTTAAAAAATATTCACTAATTATTCTTCTCTACGCATTCTCTACGAAAACTTAAACTTAATCTAATCTAACTTCTTTGATAAATTTTAGTTTCATTAATTGATTCATTAATTGAATCGGAGGATTTAAATTTTATATTTTGGTGGACAAAATTAACACATTCATAATAAAATAGTAAATAATATCAGCAATAATTATCAAAATTAGAAAAAATTATTAAACTAAACATTTACATATAAATCGATTTTCGTAAAGTACAACTAACAAAAATTACTAGATTTCATTATTTTCCAAGGAGATGAATAACGTAATAAAATACGTTAACTTATTTTCCCAATTATATAGGGGTAAATTTTAAAATAGTAAAATCGAAAATTGCGTATATTTGGGAGCAATGTTTATACAGTAGAGCACATTCAATTACCAGGATGATCATCCAACCAACTAGTCACGAGTAATGCTTAACTGGTATGGCCTCTTTATTATACATAATTGCCCATTGTTAAGTGGTTTACCTGATCCGAAATAACATCTGCGCGCACCTTTACGCCGGCTGCTTGATATTTAATTGCTAATTAACCAACAGACTGCCGCGCATACTCCCCATTTTCCGTAGTTCCGGAATCCGTGAATAGAGAAAGAGACAAAGGAGGTCGTTATTAAATTCCATTATCTTGCCGCCGGCATTATCTGTTTTCGTGCACGCGCGAATAACCACGATCCTGGGCCTCTGATGCTGTATTATTCTCTTCTTGCCGCCACGATAACCATGTTTTTGTGACTCTCTCAGCTACACTTACCTCAGGCAGTTCTCCGACTTTGCTAAACCGCGATAAGCTTGAACGATTTGCTCGTTGAAGATGCAAGACTTTATTTATAGTTCGTAAACACGTCGACGTTCATTGGAGAGTTAGGATTTATTGCGGAATAATTGTTTCTTTATTATTATTATTATTTAAAGTATAAATTGATTGTTTATTTCACTTAAATTGAGGCTTTAATTTTTATTTTAATTTTAGAGTTGTCAATTATAATTTGTATGTAGTAATATTCAATTTGTTGCAACATAACCTAAAAATTGTAATTTTGAAGAAAACGAATATGAATGTTCTGAGGTTGAAAGATCTCGCATCAAAATGTTAAATTGGAAATGCACAATTTGAAAATGTATTTACAAATCTTATCAATAAAAGATACAAGTAATAATAATTTTTGTATCAATTATTCAAAAATTGAAAATTGCAAATTTTTAATCGTATCATTGCAGAAAATAAACGATATAGTATCGTTTATATTTGGATACTTCATCAGTTTATAATTATATAATATATATCTTATAATAATATATATATATTATTTTGGTAGGATTTTGGTAGGATTATTTTAAAGATTAAACCTCTACGGTCTCTTGACAAAAATTAGAATTAATCATAATTTTCAACATTATTTTGTATTTTTCGTAAAATTTAATAACATGAACATTATTTAATAATACATTTTTATTAATTACAATTTCTATTAATTATTGAATACATATATGCATTAATTTGATTTGATAGTTCTAGTATTAATATTTTCCTTGTAATGAATTATATTATTATAATAGTAGTTTCTAGAAATTACTTTATTGAAACTTTCTAGAAATTACTTTATTGATAATTTTTAGGTCAAGAGATAATTTTATTGAATGATAAAATGCAAAATAATAATTGTTGGTATCATTACTTATTATATTCTTTATGATAATTGTTGTATCAATTTAACATAATGTCGATAATACATGAAATAATTGAAGCATAGTTTATTGGTTATCAAATTTATGCCAGATATTTTTAATTTCATTATTTTTATCTTATAATGAAGTTATTTAGATATTTGCATTATCACGGATGAAGTAGAAACAAGAAAAAGATTAATAAATAGAAATATATTTAAAATATATTAATATAATAATTAAAATAAGTAAATAGAAAAAGTCTAGAATATTTTAAATTTTCAATATTTTATTTTCAACATAAACTTATTTGTTATAATATATTTTATATATAGTTTTAATGTTTGTTCTTTTAACAAATTTTTAAATTATAAAATTAAATAATTTTTATATATTTAGAATATGCATTTTTTCTTCATACGTGATTCAAAAATAATACTTATTTATAAACTCTTTAATAAGAAATATTTTAATAAACCTTATATTAATTAGAAATTAAATAATTCCATAATAATTTTATGCTAAATATATTTATAATCTCTGTAAATAATATATTTTTATTCTGTATTATATTGTCTTTTTTTATCCATTATTAAAAAATACAAAATTTATCAAAAAAATTTTGACTATTAATCTAAAGTTTTAGTATAATATATTAATTTTATTATATAAATTAATTTAAGTTTAAATAAAAATAACAATAATTATTATATAAAATATTTAAAAAAAACATTATTTATTTCATCATATTATTAATTCATCATATGCAATCTGTTGAATTATTTTTCATTTAAAATTAATTTGAATTTATGTTGTGGAAAAATTTTCACAACTGTTTATATTTAAGCATATTTTTAATTTAAAGAGTTAATGAAATATAAATCTACACGAATGTTATTTGGTACAATAATTATTATATAAGTGGGTATCGGAGTTTATCCAATTCCTGTGTGCAAGCAACACGTGAAATTAATTATTCGTGGTTTACGATCGACTGACGAGCATTTGACTGAATTAATTATACGCCTCTGTACCTTAGTTTCATGGATGTTGCATAATGCGTAATTATTATATGATAACTAAGTACATATCGATAACTTTATTGATCGTGAAATTTACTAAGATTTTATAAGAATTAGAAAAATTAAAAAATAAATAAATAAAATAGATAGAATAGATTTTCGATAATATATTATGTTCGTATAAATATTTTATATTTTTGCTTTTATTTTTTAATCAATTTTGAAATTTTTTATTATCTTACAATTAGTAACTTAAGTTTAAGATTATTTTAAGAATTTAATTTTTTTTTATAGAAAATGATTACAATATGATTTTATATTTTATAAATTTAATTACTATTGAAATATTAAAATTATTTTTTTTTTTTTACTCAATTAATAAATTAATTCTTTTAACTTTTCAAAGAAACTCAATTTTGAAATAATTATTGCTAATTTTAAAGAATGATCGAATACTTTCTTGTAATATCGACTTTCATATTTTCTATCACTAATTTATCACTGTGTTAATTTTATCTAATCCATGCGTATAATTTCTTTTTGCAATAAGCATAAATTAAAATCGTAAAAATATTCAGACGGTGAGAAAATTACATAAATTTATATTTATACTAATACTTTTATTCAAGCTATAAAATAAATTGAATATTTTTACCATATTAACTTCCTCCATTATTTAATTTGTCGCTTATTATACGAAAATCTGTGTACATCAAATAAATCAAATTTATATTTCTAAATATAATCAGTATTTTAATAATGTAATTTTAAAAATCAAAGAAATTTAATAATATTATAATATACAAATACACATACATAGAGCAATAATTTCCGTTGCATCATGACATGTTCCAATATTAATGCGGATCAATTTTACATATGTAACTGCATATTACATGTAAAAGGTATCTAAAAACATCGTTCTTGATAGAATTTCCTGGCCACAAATGAGATATCGTCAGATATTCTATGGACGACCATCTGCTGTCGACGAAGTAATGATGGAAGCTGCGATTTATGCGTACATTCATCCGATATTACAAATGTATCGCGCGTGATTATACTCGAATCACGTTAATGCAGCATATTGAATACGTGCCGTTTCTATGTCCCTATCCGAGTGACCTTTACGCAATTCGCCATGCTACGTTGTTTCACTCTGGAAAAATGTATTATGCACCGGATAAAATTCGATATTTCTCGTAATGCTCGTGACAATAATTGATGAGCTGTGAATCATAATGGTGTAAGTTCAATTGATGAAACGATTATAATTTCGTCGTTATTTTGAGTTATTTCAATGCAAATATTATTCGAAATGCAACATGAAAAACATCTACAATATACAATGAAAAAAATTATTTTTTTATTTTTAATTTACGAATACATTTAACATATATTGTATAGTAAAATTTCCATTATTTGAATTAACATAGAGAGCATTTGCAGCTATAAGAGAATTTTTGGAGTTAATGG